TGCTGGGATGCAGGCTGCTCTCCAGAAGGGCACAGCTCTCCCAAGAACTCGCTGTTCCCCATAAAGAAAACAACTCAGCGCTAAGGCCATGGTAGTGTGGCTCATGCTCTGTGTATGGGCAGCTACAATGAGCCCTGTGTGTCCGTAGTTGGAAGGGGAGAGCTGAGATCCTCCTCAGGTATGATGAGATGGTGGGGGCAGGTTTGGAGATCTGCACTAGGGAATTAGATTCCTCTGCTCCCAGAACTTTCCAGTTTCTCCTCAGGTGAACACCTGGGTGTGAGCATCCAGCAGCTAAAAAAGCTGCAAGAAAAGGGCAGCTGAGACCAGGGCTGATGGACAGACCAGCTCCCTACAGCCTGCACCAAGGGACAGTCCTGACAAAGGTCCCCCTGAAAGGGGCAAGGCAATCTGGGGCGTTTCCATGAGAACTGGAATAGGTTTTCCTGAGAGAACACTCCCCTAACTTCTCATTGCCTTTACCTCCTTGGGCAGGTCCCCATGCACAGAGGAAGCAAATGTCCAATGGCAGCTCTATCACCCAGTTCCTCCTCCTGGCATTCGCAGACACACGGGAGATGCAGCTCTTGCACTTCTGGCTCTTCCTGGGCATCTACCTGGCTGCCCTCCTGGGCAATGGCCTCATCATCACCGCTGTAGCCTGTGACCACCACCTCCACACCCCCATGTACTTCTTCCTCCTCAACCTCTCCCTCCTAGACCTGGGATCCATCTCAACCACTGTTCCCAAAGCCATGGCCAATTCCCTGTGGGAAACCAGGGCCATTTCCTACGGGGGATGTGCTGCACAGTTGTTTCTGTTTGTCTCTTTCATTTCAGCAGAGTATTTTCTTCTCACTGTCATGGCCTATGACCGCTACGTTGCCATCTGCAAACCCCTGCACTATGGGACCCTCCTGGGCAGTAGAGCTTGCGTCAACATGGCAGCAGCTGCCTGGGGAAGTGGTTTCTTCTATGCTGTACTGCATACAACCAATACATTTTCATTACCCCTCTGCCATGGCAATGCCCTGGACCAGTTCTTCTGTGAACTTCCCCAGATCCTCAAGCTCTCCTGCTCAGATACCTACCTCAGGGAATTTCGACTTCTTGTATTCTGTACTTCTGTCTTTTTGGGATGTTTTGTTTTCATTGTGGTATCTTATGTGCAGATCTTCAGGGCTGTGCTGAGGATCCCCTCTCAGCAGGGACGGCACAAAGCCTTTTCCACATGCGTGCCTCACCTGGTTGTGGTCTCACTGTTTTTGAGCACCGCCACATTTGCCTACCTGAAGCCCCCCTCCACCTCCTCCCCATCCCTGAATCTAGTGGTTGCTGGTCTGTATTCTGTGGTGCCTCCAACAGTGAACCCCCTCATCTACAGCATGAGGAACCAGGAGCTCAAGGATGCAGTGTGGAAACTGATAACTGAATGATTTCCAGAATCATAGAACTATAGAATCACTTTGGTTGGAAAAGACCTTTGAGATCATTGAGTCCAACCTTTAACCTAACCCTGCCATCCCACCACTAAACCCTGTCCCTCAGCACCTCATCTCTCCTTCTTTTAAATACCTCCAGGGATAAGGACTCTACCACCTCCCTGGGCAGCCCATTCCAGAGCCTGACAACCCTTTCGGTGAGAAATTTTTCCCAATGTCTAGCCTAAACCTGCCCTGGTGCAACTTCAGACCATTTCCCCTTGTCCTATCGTCCGTTACCAGGGAGAAGAGGCCGACCCCCACCTCACTACAGCCTCCTGTCAGGCAGTTGTAGAGGGCGATAAGGTCTCCCCTCAGCCTCCTCTTCTCCAGACTAAACAACCCCAGTTCCCTCAGCCACTACTTGTAAGACTTGTGCTCTAGGCCTGTAGAAGCTGTAGAGTTTCCATCTTCTTCTACCTATAACTCATAATGTAACTCAATACAGGCCCAGGCTTTCTTTATTCATTTTGTTGTTATCATTCTTATTGAGTGAGGGTTTTTTTTTTTTCTTTTCTTCATTTCTTAACTTGTGATAATGTTGTCCACAAAGAAATGTGGACACCCTACTTTTACTTCATTAGCTGCCTCAGTGGTGTGACCCAGCCGCTGTGTAAATAAGGAGCTATTCTCCTTCTCTAATTCAACAAAATAAATGTCCTTGCATTGACTTGTCTGTCTGAGAGCCAAGCCACTGACACTGAATAAATACTCTTCCTGATAAGTGGAGGAAGGGCAACGGGGCAATCATGGAATCCCCCACACCTACGGCATGGGGAATGTTCCCTGTCCCTAGGAAAATCTATTCCCTCTCCCTCTCTCTTGTGACCTGCATAGTGTTTGTGCTTGGGAAGACCCTCATCATCATGCAGGTGGTGGCAAACCAGCATCTGCACACCCCCATGGGTTTCTTCTTGGGGCATTTGTCTTCCCTGGACATTTTGTACAGGTCGACCACCCTGCCCCAGCTGGTGGCCAGCTTTGCGACTGGGGAAGGCATGGTGTTAGAATTGTTTCCTGCACCTTTTGCATGGACTGAGTATTTACTATTGGTGACCACATTCTACAATCAGTACTTGACTGTGTGCCACCCCCTGCTCCCTACAAGGCTCATCAGCTGGGAGGTCTGCATCCAGGGGGCATCTGCCCCTTCACTATGGGGATTTCTGTCATCTACAGAAAATTCAGTCATTTCCCCGGCACACTTCTGTGGCCTCAGTAGAGTGAAACACTTCTCTGATTTCACCCCGCTGTGGGAGCTCTCACGAGGTGTTGGTTCTTGCATCAACTTTAAGGTTACCCAAAGGATCACGCAGACACCCTGCCATCTGCGGGTCAAGGAAACACAACGAAGTGACACTGTGACACACATACTCTTTACTTTCATTAACTGCCTTTTAGACCGCATCCTCCCCTTCCTGTTCACATGGTCACCCCATGTGCGTCACAGATACCACCCTGGGGCAGTTCACCCATCCACCGTGGGCAAGCAGAAAGCAGCCTCCACCCGCTCCTCTCACCTCACTAGTGCACTGCTTTCTAGGACACTCTCACCCTGTGTGATACCCACAGCAGCCATCCTGAGATCGTTTGACAAAGCCCTTCGACACCATCCTCACATCCCTGTTCAATGCCTTCATCTACAGCCTGTGGACTAGAAAGCAGGGGGCAGGGGTGGAGAGGGGGTGGACGGGACACTAAGAAAAGTGCCAGGAAAGATGTGAGCTGCACAGAGAGGCCATTTGAGTTCATAGAATCAGAATGTTTTGGGTTGGAAGGGACCCCTAGAGGTCATCTAGTCCAAGCCCCCTGCAGGGAGCAGGAACACCGCTAACTAGATCAGGTTGCTCAGAGCCCTGGTGGACAACAAGGTGGCCATGAGCCAGCAGGGTGCCCTTGTTGCCAAGAAGGCCAATGGCATCCTGGGGTGCATTAAGAGGAGCGTGGCCATCAGGGCGAGGGAAGTTCTCCTCCCCCTCTACTCTGCCCTGGTGAGACCCCACCTGGAGTACTGCATCCAGTTCTGGGCTCCCCGGTCCAAGAAAGATGAGGAACTCCTAGAGAGAGTCCAGAGGAGGGCTACAGAGATGATGAGGGGACTGGAGCATCTCCCCTATGAGGAAAGGCTGAGGGAGCTGGGCTTGTTTAGCCTGGAGAAGAGAAGGCTGAGAGGGGATCTCATCAACACGTACAAATATCTCAAGGTTGGAGGTCATGAGGACTGAATCAGACTCTTCTCAGTGGTGCCCAGCACCAGGACAAGGGACAATGGGCACAAACTGAAGCAGAATAGGTTTCTGTTGAATACGAGGAGTAACTTCTTGACTTTGAGGGTGACCGAGCCCTGGCACAGGCTGCCCAGGGGGGCTGTGGAGTCTCCTTCTCTGGAGATATTCAAACCCTGCCTGGATGATTTCCTGTGCACCCTGCTCTGGGTGAGCCTGCTTGAGCAGGGGGGTTGGACTAGATGATCTCTGGAGGTCCCTTCCAACCCCTGCCATTCTGGGATTCTGGGATTCTGTGATGGTGTGTCACCTTGTCTGTCTCTGTTCACTCCCACCCTAAAGCACATAGCGAGTCCCCAACCTCTCCTGACCCCTGCCAATTAATTTCAAGTCTGGGATATGCATAAATCCTGTCATACATGAAGCAGTTCTAGGAGACAGTGGGGAGCTCACGGAGCATCTCTGCTGCATTTGGACAAGAAGAGGAGAACCTTTCAATCCAGAACATTTGGTCCAATGGAAACCAACTTTGCCATGAGCTTAACCCACCAAACACTCTTTGGACGACCAATTCTGTCAACATTTTCTTGGAAGCACCTTTGCTGGAAGAGCCCAGCATCCAGGCACTGCACCTGGGGTATCCCATTTATTGATAAATGCTATCTGACAGACCATATGTGAAACAGTGTTGTGCAAGGGTCAGGCACAACAGGATGTAACTTAAGGAAAGAAGTATATATCCAGCAAATAATCCATAAAAAAAAAGATTACCACATGAGGGAAAAGCAGGCTCATGGCCTGAGATAAACTTGGGAAATGTGCAGAGGAGGGGACTCAGATTATTGTCAGTGAAACAGCACACATTGGATCAATTTACTTAAAGCATCCTTGAGCTCCTTGTTCTTCATGCTGTAGATGAGGGGGTTCACTGATGGAGGCACCACTGAGTACAGCACTGCTACCACCAGATCCAGGGATGGGGAGGAGATGGAAGGGGACTTCAAGTGTGAAAAAACACCACTGCTAAGAAACAGGGAGACCACAGCCAGGTGAGGGAGGCACGTGGAAAAGGCTTTGTGCCGTCCCTGCTCAGAGGGGATCCTCACCACGGCCCTGAAGATCTCCACATAGGACAGAACAATGAAAGAAAAACACACAAAATCTAGAAAGACACTAACCAAAAGAAGCCCAACTTCCCTGAGATAGGCGTGTGAGCAGGAGAGCTTGAGGATCTGTGGGATTTCACAGAAGAACTGGTCCAAAACATTGTCTTGGCAGAGGGGAATCGAAAATGTATTGGCTGTGTGCAGCACAGCAGTGAGAAATCCATTGCCCCAGGCAGCTGCTGCCATGTGGACACAAGCTCTGCTGCCCAGGAGGGTCCTGTAGTGCAAGGGTTTGCAGATGGCAACGTAGCGGTCATAGGCCATGATGGTGAGAACAGAATACTCTGCTACTACCATAAAGGCAAACATAAAAACCTGGACAGTACATCCTGTGTAGGAGATGGCCCTGGTGTTCCAGAGGGAATTGGCCATTGATTTTGGAACAGTGATGGAGATGGAGGCCATGTCTAGGAGGGAGAGGTTGAAGAGGAAGAAATACATGGGGGTGTGGAGGCGGTGGTCGCAGGCTATGGCGGTGATGATGAGGCCGTTGCAGGGCAGCCAGGTAGATGCCCAGGAAGAGCCAGAAGTGCAAGAGCTGCCACTCCCGTGTGTCTGCAAATGCCAGGAGGAGGAACTGGGTGATGGAGCTGCTGTTGGATATTTTGTCCATCTGGGGACTGGAATCTGTAGGAAGAAAGTAAAAGAAGTGAGAAGTTAGGGCAGAATTCTGTGAGAAATATCTGTTCAGTGTCTTATAGAAACCCCACCAAACCTCCTTTCCCTTTTAAGGAACACCTTCAGTGAGCTCTGACTGGTGTAGGCTGAGGGGTCCCATGGAGCAGGAGGCTCTGCTGTGGGCTCTGCATGATTCAGTCCTGACTTACAGCAATTGCTAAAGAGGAACGTGGGGTGATCTCAGCTTAAATCCACTGTGATAGGAAAGTGATTTTCAGTGTTGCCCATCCAAACTCACCTGACCGCAGAGCAGAGCTGTGGGGATTCTGGTTTTTGTCTTCTCTTCCAGTTGCCCCACCACAGCTCAGGAGTGGCTTTCAGGCAGAAATCCCAGGCATTTCTGCTGCACTGCCAGGGAAATCTTGTGGGTCCTGAGAGGCAAAGAGACTGTCCCGGAGTGCCAAGGGAGGACAGCCACTCTATCCATCAGCCCTGGTCTCAGCTGTCCCATGCTGGTAGCTCTTTCAGCTCCAGGAACATCACACTTGGGCGTTCCCCCCAAAAGAAACAGGATACTGCTGGGAGCAGAGGAACCCAGTTCCCAAGTGCAGATCTCCAAACCCCTCAGCCCATCATACCTGAGGAGGATCTCAGCTCTGCCCTCCCAACCAGGGACACCCAGGGCTCATGGCAGATGCCCACCTACAGCCACCCAGCAGCATTTCTGTGGCCTTCAGCACCCAGGGCTCTTCTCCAGGGGGCTCCTGCACAACATAGAGGCACCACCAGAGAGCTTTGCCCTCCAGGAGGGCAGCCTGCAGTGCAGCAGGACCTCCCAAGGAAAGAGTCCCGTCTCCTCCCTTTGTTACCTCCTGAAGAGAGGCTGAGATCCCCGCCAGGCG